CATTATGGGAAATGGGTATTCCAGAACACTTAATTGTGCTCTTGAGGAACCTATACATAGACCAAGAGGCAGTTATTCAAACAGAACAGGGGGACACTGAATGGTTTTAAATCAGGAAAGATAGGTACCAGGGTTGTATTCTTTCACCATACTTATTCAATCTGTATGCTGAGTAAATAATCCAAGAAGCTGGACTATATGAAGAAGAACGTGGCATTGAGACTGGAGGAAGACTGATTAACAACGTGTGATATGCAGATGATACAACCTTTCTTGCTGGAAGTGACGATGACTAGATGGAATTTAACAATACCAACAATAACTGCAAGGTTGGTGGTTCGAACCCACAAGCCACTCCAAGAGAGAATGATGAGGTTGTCTGCTCCCATAAAGACATATAGCCTCCTAAACCTTAAAGATTTATAGTCTCCTAAGCATAGTATTTACGAATCGGGTTGCGAACCGCAAGGTCAGCAGTTGGAAACTACCAGCTGTTCCATGGGAGAAAGATGAGGCATTCTGCTCCCGTAAAGATTTACAGCCTCGGAAACCCTGTACATGGTCACTATGAGTTGGAACCGACTCCACGGCACATCATAACAACAGCAACAAACCCTGTATAAGGAGTCTCGGTGTGGCGCTGCAGGTGAATGCGCTGGACTGCAGGGTCTGTTTGAACCACAAAGTGGAGGTTCAAGCTCACCAGCCACTCCTAGGAAACCCTACACAGGGTCGCTATGGGTTGGAACCAACTTGATAACTCTTAACAGTAACAACAACAAACCCTATGCAGAGTCCTGATTTAACACTGTGAGTTAATGCACTAGACTGCAAGGTTGGTTTGAACCACAAGGTTGGTGGTTCAAGCTCACCGGTCGCTCTTGGGAAACCCAGAGTTACTGTGGAGTGGAACGGACTCAAAGGCACTTCACAACACCACCACCACCACAAACCCTATATGGAATCCTAGTGTGGTGCTCTGGGTTTATGTGCTGGACTTCAAGGTCAGCGGTTCAAACTCAACAGTTATTCCTCGGAAACCCCATACACGGTCGTTATGAGTCAAAACCGACTCCAGAGCACTTCACAACAACAAAACCCTATGTAGGTTCTCTATGACTCTATGGCAGTGAGTTTAGACTAGAGAGGAACATTTCCCCCCTCCCAGAGGCCGGGGGGAGGGAGAGATGTCACCCCTCCCATCTTCAAAGTGTCTCCTTTGAACAAAGTCAGAATTCAGCAATGTGGGACGGTTTCTGTCCTGGGCCTACGACTGCCCTTTTCTCCCCGCCTCATACACTGCACCCTAGCCAGCCGGGACAGCAATTTTATAGGGCCGTTATTACCCTGCTATTTCCCAGTAAACCCACACCAGCCCCCCAGCACTCCAGAGAGTTGCTACACTGTTACAAGGTGATAGGTGCTGTGGACAAAAGGGGCCGTTGGGTTTATGGAAACGATATAAAGTTTATGGAGTCTCAGCAGGCCAGAGGTGGGAAGGGCTCACAGGGCGGGGGTGGGGGTTTAGAGTTAGAGAAGGTTATGGAATAACTGCAGACAACACAGCCCAAGTCCAGGGCCAGATTTGTAATTGTGGGGGCATTGTAGCTCCTTGGGGGGGAGTTCTCCATGATGTCATCTCACCCCCATAACAGTCCTACCAGGGGGAACGGGTACTGTAGAGATGAGACTGAGTAAAAGGTTATGGAGGTTACAAACCTGCCCAAGCTGATGGTTCCAGGCAGGCACAGAATGGATGTTCTGGGCAGCCTCTGATCCTCACAGCTTCTTCTCTCTTGGGTATGGAATGGTACCTCCCATTTTAGGGCCAGAAATTATAGTGTCCACACCCTGTTCCAGTTTGGGAGGCACCTGCTAGGCACATGTGGGGGTTCTCACTTCTGACGTCCACCTTTCTTTGCTTTGCCCCTCCCACGGACCAGCCTTTGGGTAGAACAGACTTGTGCTCAAGTCTGCCTACTGGCCAGAATAAAAGCAAAGCTGTGTACAGGTTAGCGCTGGAATCGGGGTGGGGCTAGAACCCCGAGCCTCTGTCTGCCTTCAGGAGTCCCTCTGAGTCCCATTTTACCTTATGGTAACCCTACAGGATGTGAAGTGGCCTCCTCCCATCCCTGTCTGTCCTGGACATTTCTAATTCATTTCTCCTGTACATGTACCTTGTGACATCTAGTTTTTCATTCGCCTACTCAGCTGTGAAGGCTTTGAATGCAGAGTCCATGATGGCTGATTCTTCAGTTCTGATTTCTCCCAAAAGGCCTGACATCTTTCCTGGCATGTAGTGAACACTGAGTAAATATCGGCTGGAAAGATGGATGGATGGTGGATGGATGGGCGGATGATTGATGGATGGATAGGGATGATGGATGGATGGGTGGGTGGATGAATGGATGCATCAATGGATGGATAGGAATGGTGGATGGATGGATGGATGGATGGGTAGGTAGATGAATAAGTAGATAGATGGGTAGATATTTGGATGGATGGATGGGAGGCTATATGGATAGCTGGATGGATGGTGGATGGATGGGCAGATGATGGATGGATGGATAGGGATGATGGATGGGTGGGTGGGTGGGTGGATGAATGGATAGGAATGGTGGATGGATGAATGAATTGGGTAGGTGGATGAATAAGTAGATAGATGGGTAGATATTTGGATGGATGGATGGGAGGATATATGGATAGCTGGATGGATGGATGAGTAAGTAGATAGATGGATGTATCAATAAACATACAGACTGACAGTCAGGCAGTGACTAGACTAACACACACCCAGGTCCTCGTTACCACCTTCCAGTGCAGTTACACTAACAGCCTACCCAGACTCTCAGGGGCATTAGCTGAATGCACTTCTGTTTCGGGGGACATGCTTGGCCCTCCCTGAAACCATATGGAGAAAGCAGCCTGAGTGTTTGAATGCGTGTGTGTAAATACTTTACAGGCCCCATAAACTTGTTTAAAGGCAGGTGGGGGTGAAAGTATAAACTGGGGCAGCCTTTTGGGAGGGCAGTTTGGAAGTAGCTATTAAAATCTTAACTATGCCTACCACGAAGATCCTGCAGTTGCATTTGTAATTGTGAAGCATATGAAGTCTATTCAGATCAAGAACCAGGTACCAGGATTGCTCATAACAGAGAAAAACTGAAAATAGCCTAGGGACACTTGGTGGCGCTGTCGGGTAGGCAATGAACTGCTATTCAAAAGGTCAGCAGTTCAAACCCACCAGCTGCTCCTAGGGAGAAAGATGAGGCTGTCTGCTCCTGTAAAGACACTCTCAGAAACCGTATACAGGGTCCCTCGACTCAATGGCAGTGGGTCTTTTGGTAGCAGCCACAACTGTGGGAACACAGGCACTAGGGAAAATGAAGCAGCTGTGTGCTCTTAGATGCGGGGACGGTGCAGTGGGGTTAGGTGCGAGGGTAGGGAGATGTTCTTTATCTTCTGAACCTTGTACTCAAAGACTCCCAAATTTCAACAGCTGTCTCCTGCAAGATGCACCCCAGATCCCCACTTCCCATTCCCAGCCACTTTTCCACCTCTCTCTGGTTCCTACTGAAATTCTGTCTAATCCATGTGCGTACCTGCCAGTGACCTTCCCTCACAGAATAGAAGAGAAACCAGAGGAAAGCAGTTGTATGTGGAATGACTGTGTGCTGTCTGTTCTCTCAGAAAGGTTGAAAGCCGTAATCTGAGAACTCCATTAACAGGCACCCCGTCTCCCTCCTGATGAGACAGAGAGGAAAGGGGGAGCAGAACCTGTATAGAAAACCATCGCCTCGTCCCTCCTTCCGGAGATCAACGGCCTCTTATTTTCTTACTGCTTAAGAAATTGAAATGGTTTTGAACACACGTAGTGTGTTCTTCCAAAACGTGGAAGTGGGGCGCATAGTCATATAAGGGTTGTCTGGTTTAGACGTGTGAAGAAGCTTCATGAGAGGCAGAGAAGCCGAAGCTACTGCCGGAAAGCTGTTACCAAAGTAGCACGCACCCAGGCAGTGGGAACGTGACCCATCTCAGATCCTTTGGATGCAGCAGCAGTTAACATCACAGAGTTCAGTAAGGATAGAAAAAAGAGAGCCGAGAGTTTAAAGGGCAGGCTTCCCTTCCCAACTTGCTGCTTATTCTATGATTTAACCCTGAGCTCCTTGGTCTGTAAACTGAGAATCATACATAACCTTGCTAATTGTGTGGCCCTGTAGGATAGGCATTGAACTGTTAACCACAAAATTGCTGGGTCAAACCCACCAGCAATGCCTTGGAAATCCTACACAGGGTTGCTTTGAGTCGGAACCGACTTGACAGCACCTAACAACAAGACATTACAACATGTGCCCTTTTGTGTCTGGCTTAAATGCTCAGTATCATGTTCTCGAAGCTCATCCATGTGGTCGTATGAACCGGTACTTGCATCTTGAGAGCTGGTATTGCCTGCACGTACATTTATTTTATCCATGGACACAGGGATTGCTTCTACCTTTGGACCAGTGCTGCTGGGAACAGTGGATTGATGTACAAGTATTTGAGCCCTTGCTTTCAGGTCTCTGGGGCATATGCCTGCGAGTGGAATTGCTGGTTGGTGATTCATATGGTAATATTATGTATCAGCGTTTGAGGAACCATCAACCTGTTTTCTCTGGCAAAGGTGGTGCCGTTTTTTTTACATTCCCACCAGACAATGCAGAAGAGCTCCAGTTCATCCCCACCTTGTGTCTTTCACTTGTATTTTACTTCTGCTGATTCCTAACTCCAGGAGCCCAATACCCATTACCCTAGAACATGCTATTTTGAGTCTCTGAATTCCTGGGTAGGCACTCGGGCTTGGGCTGAGGAACGTGGATTCTGGGTGACCAGCCAGCCCCTGCTAACCCCTTTCTGGGAAAGGATCTGATTTTCAGTGGGTGGGACCTGCGGTCCCTGAAATCCCCCTGTGGGATGGGAGGTCAGGGTTTTGCCCAGCTAATGTGTTTCTTTGTTTTCAGTGGAGAGGGAAAATGTGCAGAAGAGGACCTTTACTCGCTGGATAAACCTCCATCTCGAAAAGGTAAGCCAGGCACCAGGGGGCGTTTGACGACAGGATAGAACCATTTGTCTCTGAGTCACTGTGTAGTGGAGCTGGCAGGGAATGTTGGCTCTCTGGGCTCCTGTTTTTCCATCATTCCCTTCAACATGATTGAATCCCTCTTTACTGCTAGGTTTCCAGCCCGTTCTGGGAATATGAGAGAAATAAGCTCTGGTTCTGCCCTTGTGGGTTACCAGTCTAGTTGGGGAAGGAAGAGCTTTCTTTAAATAGGAAGTGAGGACCCGCCCCCTTCATCACTGAGTGACTGTAGACCACAGGGTGACCCTTGAGCATCTCAGCTTTTCATTGAGATTCTCTGGGAAGAGCCACTTAACAGGGGTCTGGCTTGATTAAAAGGGCTCAAGGGTTCTTGCTGAAGTGGCTCCTTCCCCAGCATCTCATTGAAAAACTCAAGGGTCATCCTCTGGTCTGAGTAAGTGCTGAGAGGGAATCATTGAAACGGTCAATACCTTTAGAGGGGGAAGATCTTGACTGAAAGTCTGAGCCAACACTGGACCCTGTGTCCCCACCTGTCGGATGGGTTACACCATCACCTCTGAACCTGGAGGATGTGGAACTCCTCCCCACTTCGAAGAAGGGTCGTAGATCACACAGGAAGGATTGTAAATCATCTGCCAAAGGGTCGTAGATCACACAGGAAGGATTGTAAATCATCTGCCACTTGTTTGGATTCCCGATGCATTTTCAGCAGTGCTCATAAAGTGCAGTGTTGTTTTTGAATAAAAGGAAAACAACATTCCTCAGACCTGCACTCGCTGAACTCCTAAATCAGTGCCTGACATGTTTCCAGGTCTCTAGAAAGTACACTAGTGCAGCCATGAAGTCTGTCTGTCTGTCTGTCTGCCTTTTGTTACTTTTCTTCCCCTTTCTCTTCCTTTCTTCCTTCCTTCTTCCCTTCCTCCCTTCCTTCCTCTCTCTCTCTCTTTTTCTTCCTTCTTTCCTTCCTTCCTTCCCTCTTTTCTTTTCTCTCTGCCTTTTCACTTATAAAATCAATACTGAAAAATACACAGGATAATAGCGGAAACACCCAATCACCACCCAAACGAACCATCCTGTCTCTCAAACAAACGCCCTACCATCGATATGCGCGGTGATCGTATAGGAAGGACAGAGCAGAACGCCCGCCCCCATAGGTTTCCTAGGCTGTCATATTTAGGGGAGTCAACTGCCACTTCTTCCTCCTAAGAAGCAGCTGGTGGATTTGAACCACCCACTTTCTGGTTAGCAGCCCAGTGCTTAACCCACAGTACCACCAGTTCTCCAACAATGATCCGCAGTTAGAATTTATTATCATTTCCAAGATTTTCCCATTGGCCATTTTCCCACTGTCCCCCTTTGTTCTGGGCAGGTGGGTAGCTCCCCTGCTCTGAAGAGAGATCGGGTCTCACTTGAAACCGATGCCTGATAAGCAGAGCAAAATTCACAGCTGTATTCCCAACCTTGAGACTTTCAAGAACAACCTGTCACGGGAAAGATGCCCAGGAACTCCTTGGTGGATTGGGCGAAACGGCAGTGGGAGAGCCGTCAGAGATCTTTACTGAATTACTGTGGCTTCTGAGGACCTTCCTTGATTTACCAAAAGAGCTAGATCACCGAGACAGCCCAAGGGGCTGCTGTGTATTCAGCCATACCCAGCTCACGAGGCCCATGGGAGGTTCTGGGCCCAAGGAGTGTTGCACTGTAGTGTTTGCTGTCTTCCTGTTGCCCTCTTCTTACAGGATGGGCAGTGGGTGACCTGAACCCTGCTTGTGCTCATGGGAGCTGCTGTGGTGGGAGTTTAGGTGGACAGTAAGGCTGGGCTGCGGCCAGACCTGGTAACTGGAAAATCTGAGTCTGTGCCAGGGCTAATCTCAGCCATGTCCAGTCTCGCATTAGCAGGAATAACATTTCCATCGGCGCCTCAGTAACTCGATGCCGTCATGCGCAGTGTGGCATGCACCCACCTGGGGAGCTAAGGGACTTTGCAAAGAAAATATGTGCCTTTGGGTTCAAAGTCGCTGTTGCTCCTGGAGCCAGGGCTTTTTTGGTGCATCTGTGGGCAGAATAGTCTTGCATCTGGGGGAAGGGGGCTTGTTTATATACGGTGTAAGGAAATGCCAGCTTCCTTCATAAAAAATCAAGCACAGAAACTTCGAAGGGAATGAGACTTTCCCAGAGGAAAAGGGCAGCTGGCTTACCGTACTACCATGGTCCCAAGATTGTCCTTCCAAACAGTTAAGCACCAGACTATTAACCAAAAGGTTGTCAATTTCAAAAACACCTCGAAAGAAAGACCTGGCAATCTGTTTCTAAAATGTCATCGCCCTGAAAGCCCCGTGGAGCTCTGTTATACTCTGCACACATGGGGATCTCCCTGAGTCAATTTGGTGGCAGCCGGTTTGGTCTGGGGGTCAGATCTCTGGCTGGTTGTGGGGGAAGTACCCCACTTCCTCCATAAATCCTATCTCATGTGAACACCAGCCTAAGTATTCTAACTGAGTCAAGGCCCCCAGACCTAAAGGTAAATAGATCATTCATGGAGGTGGGGGTAACTTATTAGAAATGTAGGTTTCTGGGCCCTGCTCCCCAAGGTCCTGGTGTGGAAGTTCTGAACTACTCAAGCTTGTTAAGGCACCAGGAGACCTTGGGGAGGGAGGGAGGTTGCAGACGGTCATCGTTGCTCACTGAAACGGTGGAGGTCCCAGTCCACCTTGAAGGGCTTTTGAAGAGAGGTCTGGCAAGTTACTTCTGAAAAGTTAGCCTCTGAAAACGTAACCCTGCAGAGCACAGTTCTCCTCCTGGGGCTGCTGTGATTTGGAATCAGCTCAATAACAGCTAGTTACTTGCTAGAACAAAAACCTTTCTTCAAGCAAAATGTCACCCAAACCCACGGCCCTCAACTTGGTTCTGACTCATCGCGATGCCGTATAAGGTTTCCAAGGCTGTAAATCTTTATGGGAGCAGAAAGCCTCATCTTTCTCCTGTGGAGCAGCTAGTAGGTTTGGTGGGTTTGAACCTCTGGCCTTGTGGTTAGCAGTCCAGTACTTACCCTACAGTGCCATCACGGTTATCAGAACCCCACTGCCGTTGAGTCTATTCTGACTCATATCGACCCTGTGTAGGGTTTCTGAGGATATAAATCTTTATGGGATCAGAAAGCTTCATCTATCCCCCATGGAGTAACTGGCGGGTTTCAACTGCTGACCTTGCAGTTAATAGTCCAGTGCTTAACCTAAAGTGCCACCAAGGCTTCTTTTAAATGTTATCAGGAACCCTAAATAAAGGCCAGTGGAGTTGCAGGGTGGCGCTGTAGGATAGGCACTGGCTCACAAGGTTGATTTGATCCACAAGGTGGCAGTTCAAACCTACCAAGCCATTCCTTGGAAACCTAAGTCAACAGGGTAGTAGTCACTGTGAGTCGAAACGGAAAAATCTAAGGCATGTAACAACTACAGGGCCTAACTTCTGTGGTTAAAGGGCTGTAGTGCAGGTGGATACCTCTTTAGCACTGCTCTGCCCCTAGAGGGTGCTCTGATGCCACTCTGCTGAAGCCTGGGGTTCCTGGGAACAGAGTTTGCAAACCACTGCTCTGGATCTGACTCACAGCTGTTCCATCATGCTCTTGGTGGACACTGTGTGTAATCCACAGCCGGCCTCCCCAGGTCCAGTCTCCAAGCTCAGGCTTCTGGTACGCTCCCAGCTGGGCAGTCCGTGTGCACTGAGGCTGGGGCTGCTCACAGTGCACTGTTTCAAGGAGCCCAGGAAGAGCGGCAAGTGTAGCGGACAACACTGGCTCCATAGGAGCACCTGACAACAGAGGGGCAGCTGGGAGAGCATCTCCCCTCCACCACCCTACCGCCTCCTGGAAGAAGTACCTTACTAATGTGGGTGCTTCCCAACTCTGCAGGCAGAGAGCACCCCTAAAATCTCCGTATTTAAACAGATTCTGTATCAGCATCCTCACACCTCAGCTAGTCCTCAGAGGGGTCAGAGTCCTAACCTAACCTTGCCAACAAGGACCTTACTTCCCATGCCCAAGGTCATGCCCCCCTGTGAGGGTTGACTGGGATGTGAACTTGAACTCACTCTGGTGTGTCTGGTTCCCAGATGAAGAGAGCGTGGACTTAGGAAGACTGGATTCTGTGGCGGAATGGGACAAGTGGTCTTCAGCAGATGAGCTTTTTTATTATTATTATTTATTTATTGTGAACTGAGTGATAGTTTATATGAGAGAACATCGGCTTTACACCAGCGTTTCATTGCGATGATTACAATCTCCTCCGTGCATCATCATCCAACAGTATTTGCTTCCATTCCCTCTGGTTTCCTTTCTTTGGGGGGAGAGTGGGAGTGGGAGGGGTGGGGAGATATACGCAAAATCACTCAAGAATATATAATAATTTAAACAACCAAAGGACACATTCTGCAAGCCTGCCTCCTGGCTGCCAGCACTCAGTCAGTCCCTCTCTTTCCATAGGTCTAGAGTCCTCAGCTGCTCCCTAGCAGATGAACTTTTAAAATACAATTTTAATTATATTGATTTGTGTATCATATGCATATTGTAGCTAACTAATACAGATAAATATAGGGTATTGATGTGGTGTTGTAGGATAAGCACTGGACTGCTAAGCAGCCTATTGTTGTTAAGTACCGTCAAATCAGTTCTGACTCGCAGCAACCCTATATAGGATTTCCAAGGAGTGGCTGATGAGTTTGAACCACCAACCTTGTAGCTCAAACCGACCTTGCAGTTCACTTGCGTATCCTCCAGAGCCACACTAGAACTCCAGCTACACAGGGTTGCTGTGAGTCAGAACCGACTCCATGGCACTTAACAACAACAACAATACAGTTAAATACATACACTTGTAAATGAACCATTCAACCTTTTGAGTTCCTAACAGACCAACTTGGGGTGAAGGAGATAGTTCATTGGTTCTCATCTGATGTCCACTGCTCATCCGGCCAGCCGTTTGTCCATCCCCCCGCTGTTCCCTCCCACCTCCAGACTACAGGAAACTCGGGATGGCTGGGGTGGGGGGTGAGGGGGAGTGGCCTGGGAAACCTGGATACTGATGGAGATGGCAGGGCCCTGACCCATATGCAGATGGACGGTGTGCCCACACAGTGAGGATCGGGATGTCATTGTGTTTATCCAGTATGGACGGTAAAGACCCAAGCTGACCAGACATTGGACTCATCACCCAGCTTCCTGGAGCCCCAGTTCCCCCAAATGGGAAGGGAATGATGGACCCTACTGAATTTTCATGTGAGCTAATAGAATGATTTTATTCCAAAGAAGACTACCATCAACACATGCCATATGTTTCTACACTTACGCAGAAATGTGAAGGTCATCTGATCCCAGGGGTCTGAGATCTCAGGCTAGAAGGATCCCCAAGGACCACTTGTCCCACAGGCTGCCTGATGCTTAATGTCCTCCCCGGCTCTCCTCCCAGTGGCCGCACCCCATGTCCACGGCGCTGACTTCCTGCCTCCTTGGTCAAGACAGAGCTGAATGTTCTTGAGCTGAAACCTGCATCTTAGAACTCGTGTTGTAGATGACACAGATCCCTGACCGGTGTTTTTTTTTTCTCTTCTTCCCCAGTGTGACCCTCCACTAGAAGTTAAAGACTTATTCGTTGACATACAAGATGGAAAAATTCTAATGGCTTTGTTAGAAGTTCTGTCTGGGCGAAATCTGGTATGTATGTCACGGAAGGGTCAGGAGAAATGCAATGTGCAAGCAGACAGGATGGGAGGTGGTTTTCAGTACAGATTTCTTGTCCGTGCGTGCGTACGTACTTGGACATGTACGTATCCTCTGACAGAGAAACTCTGAAGGGTGACGTTCCTATATCAGCAACTATAAGTCTTGGTGTAGCTGTAGGATCAGCACTGGACTGCTTACCACAAGCTGCTCCTGGGAAACTCTATAGGGTGGCTATGAGTTGGAACCAACTCTACGACACTTAACAACAGCGTAGATTCAGGAGTCCTCGTGTGGCGCTGTAGGATCAGCACTTGATTGCTAACTTCAAGGTCGGTGGTTCAAACCCATCAGCTGCTCTTTGGAAACCCTTTACAGAGTTGCTATATGTAGGCACTTAACAAAACAGTGATATATATAGCTAATTTTATTTTTTTAAAGTAAATGTGTCTTAGTAAGATAGCAAATAATGCCCAGTGTTTTCTGAGAATCTGTTAAAGCTAAAGATTGGAAGTAGGTCATTAAAGTTTAGTTGATGTTCTTAGGTACCATCAAGTCGATTTCAACTCAAAGCAACGCCATGTGGCAGACTAGAACTGCCCCGTGGGATTTTCTTGGCTGTAATCTTTACAAAGGACTCCTGGTATGGAGCTGTAGGATAAGCACTGGACTGCTAACCAAAAAGTCAGTGGTTCAAACCCGCCAGCTACTCCTTGGAAACCCTATATGGGTCATTATGAGTCAGAACTGACTCGATGGCGCGCAATAACAAGAACAATCTTCACAGGAGAAAACTACCAGATCTTCCTCATGTGGAGCTGTGGGATGTGTTTGAACCGCCGACCTTTTAGTTTGCAGCCTAGCGCTTAGCTGTTGTGCCACCAGGCTGCTTGAAGGTTAGCTGTTGTTGTTGTTAGGTGTCGTCAAGTTGGTTCTGACTCGGTGACATTCTATAGTTTCTAAAGCTGTAAATCTTTCTGGGAACAGAAAGCCTCATTTTTCCCCCCATGGAACGATTAGTGGGTTTGAACTGGCAACTTTGTAATTAGCAGTCTAGTGCTTATCCTGTAGAGCCACCAGCCCTCCTCAAAGGTTAACTAGGTGGCCTTATGTGAACTCAAATGATAGGTAAGAACCAGGATCATTGAGAAAGAAAGACCTCTTACCAACCAAATTCTATAATCAACCCAGAAGCTAAAAGTAGAATGGCTGGCTTCTAGAACATTCTTATCATCTAAATTTGATTCAAGGTGAACCAATAGCCCACCATGACACACACACACACTATTGTGGATTTCAGCTACATGACATCCCCCCCACACACACACACATACACACAGCAGGGTTCCTGTCTTGGCTCTGGTCACCCGGGGGGTCAACGTTCTCTGTGGCAGGGGGCTGTCCTGTAAACGCAGGGGCTTTAGCCACATCCCTGGTCTCTACCAACAAATACCCATTAGTGTTTGGTTTCATAGTAGGTTTCCCAATGAACCATCACAGTGGCTCCTAAAAGTCTTCTTAGAAAAGTAGATTCTAGGCCCTTGTCCTAATGTTCCAGCCCAACATTTTTTGCCAGGTCACATGGAATTAAATATTGCAAGCCCCCTTACTTTGCATCTGGGGACACTGAGGCTCCAGGAGGTGGAGTTATGCCCAGTGACTGGTCAGATCAGCTGTTTGGTAAAGACCTGTTTTTAGTATTGGAACATCCCTGTCCCCAGTATGATGGACTACTTCCGAATATTTAGTCACTAAAAACCCTATGAATAGCAGTGGAGCACTGTCAGAACCACAATACTAAATATTGAAACATGATGAAGAGCATTAGAATATTGTCAGATATAGTGCCGGAAGATGAATCTCTCAGGTTGGAAGGCACTCAAAATGCGACTGGGGAAAAGCTGCCTCCTCAAAGTAGTGTTAACCGTGATGATGCAAATGGAGTAAAGCCCTCGGGACCTTCATTTGCTGATGGAACACAGCTCAAAATGAGGACAAACAGCTGTAAGCATCCATTAATAATCAGAACATGGAATGTACAAAGTATGAATCTAGGAAATTTAGAAGTTGTCAAAAAAGAAATTAAACGCATAGACATTGATGTCTGTCCTAGGCATTAGTGAGCTGAAATGAACTGGTATTAGCCATTTTGAATCTGACAAGCACATATTTTACTATGCCGGGAATGACAAATTGAAGAATAGTCGTATTCATCATCAAAAAGAATCTCTCAAGATCTGTCTGGAAAGCACAGTGCTGTCTGTGGTAGGATAATATGCCGTAGTGCTGTAGGATAAGCACTCAACCTCAAGGTTGGTTTGAACTGCAAAGGCGGTGGCTCGAATTCACCAGCTGCCCCTTGAAAACTCTGTACAGGGTCACTATGAGTCGGAACTGACTCGACTGCACACAACATCAACACCATAAGAAAAACCAGTTAATAAACCACTATTATTCAAATTTACACATAAACTACTAAAGTCAGATGATGAAATTGAAGAATTCTACAAACTTCTTCAGTCTGAAATTCATCCAACATGCAATTAAGATATATTGATCATTACTGGTGATTGGAATGCAATGGTTGGAAACAAAGAGGAAGGGTCAGTAGTTGAATAATAATGGCCTTGGTGATAGAAATGATGCTGGAGATCCCATGATAGAATTTTGCAAGACCCATGACATTTTCATTGCAAATACTTTTTTTAAACAATTATAAATGGGACCTCAACAGGTGGGAAAAACACAGAAATCAAATTGACTACATCTGCGGAAAGAGACTGTAAAAGCTCCGTATCATCAGCCAAAACAAGGCCAGGGGCAGATTGTGGACAGACCATCAATTGATCATATGCATATTCAGGCTAACGCTAAAGAAAATTAAAACAAGTTAAAATAAAATGTGATCTTGAACATGTCCTACCTGAATTTAGAGATCATCTGAAGAACAGATTTGATACATTAGACACTAAAGACAGAAGACCACAAGAGTTGTGGGATAACATCAAGAACATCATACAGGAAGAAAGCGAAAGGTCATTGAGAAGACAAGAAAGAAGGAAAAGGCCAAAGTGTATGTCAGAAGAGACTCTGAAACTTGCTCTCTAGCGTTAAGATGTTAAAGCAAGTGGAAGAAAGGAGGAGTTAAAAGAGCTGAACAGAAAATTTCAAAGGGCAGCTTGAGAAGACAGAGTCAAATATTATAGCAAAATGTACAAAGACCTGGAGTTAAGAAACCAAAAGGGTAGAGCTCCTCAGCATTTCTCAAGCTGGGGGAAGTGAAGAAAAAAATTCAAGCTTCGATTTTCGTTATTGAAGGATTCTCTGGGCAAATTATTGAAAGATGCAGAAAGCATCAAGAGAAGATGGAAGGCATACACAGAGTCACTGCACCAAAAGGAAATGGCTGACGTTCAGTCATTTCAAGAGGTAGCATATGATCAAAAGCCAATGATACTGAAGGAATTGACAAAGAACAAGGCCCCAGGAATTGATGGACTAAAAATTGAAATCTTCCAAGAAAGTGAGGCGGCACTGGAGGCACTCACTCATCAATGCCAAGAAATTTGGAAGACAACTATCTGGCCAACTGATTGGAAGAGATCCATATTTGTGCCCATTCCAAAGAGAGGTGACCCAATGACAGGGGAAACCATTAGACAATATCATTAGTACTGCATGCAAATAAAATTTTACTAAAGATACTTCAAAAACGGCTGCAACAGTACATTGATAGGGAATTGCCACAGGTTCAAGCTAGATTCAGATGAGGAAATGGAACAAAGGATATTATTGCTGATATCAGATGAATCTTAACTAAAAGCAGAGAATACCAGAAAGATGTTTACCTGTGCTTTATTGACTGCGCAAATGTTTTAGATTGTGTGGCTCATGACAAGCTATGGACAACATTGAGAAAAATGGCTATTCTGGAACACTTAATTGTGCTCATGGGGAACCTGTACTGTACCAAGAGGAAGTTATTCAAAAGAAACAAGGGTTTAAAATTAGCAAAGGTGTGCACCAGGGTTACATCCTTTCACCATACTTATTCAGTCTGTGTGTTGAGCACATACTTTGAAAAGCTAGATTCTATGAAGAAGAAAATGGCATCAGGATTGGAGGAAGACTCATTTATATGTGATATGCAGATGATACAACCTTGCTTGCTGAAAGTGAAGAGGACTAGAAATGCTGACTGATGAAGCTCAAAGACCACAGCCTTCAGTATGAGTTGCCCCTCAATGTAAAGAAAATAAAAATCCTCACCACTGGACCAATAAATAGCATCAAGATAAACGCAGAAAAGATTGAAATTGTCAAAAGAATTCATTTAGCTTGAATCAGCCATAGACATTCAAGGAAGCAGTGGTCAAGATATAAAACGACGTATTGCATTAGGTAAATCTGCTGCACAAGACCCCTCTGTAAAGTGTTCAAGAGCAAAGATGTCATTTTGGGGACTGAGGTGCGTCTGACCCAAGCCATGGTATTTTCAGTAACCTCATATGCATGCGAAAGTCGTACAGTGAATAAGAATTGATGTATTTGAGTTATGGTGTTGCAGGAGAATACGAAAAATTCCATGGACCCCCAAAAGAACAAACAGATCTGTGTTGGGAGAAGTGCAGCCAGAATGTTCCTTAGAAGCTGCGATGGGCAGACTTCATCTCTCGTACTTCAGACATATAATCAGACAGGACCATTCCCTGTACAAGGACATTCTCCGTAAAGCAGAGGGTCATTGAAAAGGCAGAACACTCCCTCCTGCCCAACAAGATGGGTTGGCACAGTGGCAGCAGCAGTGGTCTCAAGTGTAGCAATGATTGTGAGGTTGGCGCAGGACCGGGAAGTGTTTCATTCTGTTGTGCATAAATTGGTACCAATTTGATGGACTAACAACAACAACAACAACAGCAAGTAGCTTAAAGGTTGTCAGCTCACGCCTGTTGGTCTGCCTCCGTAAAGATTACAGCCTTGAAAACTCACTAACACACCGGTTGGCATGAGCCAAAGGGTTAGGTTTTTATACCAATGGTGCAAATGTGTTCAGACTGTTCACTTCTGTGAGCAGCTCTTTCTTTACTATTATAATTTGTTTTTGAACCTGGGGTAACTGTCCACAAAGCTTACGTCTGGAAAACAGAAACATCTGTATCCCTCAGGGAGGGTCTTGCTGGTGATTTATCAGCTGTGCAGTGATGCTTGGGGCTGATACTCCCTGGGACGAAGCCATCAGTGCAGCCAGATTTGTTAGAGAAATTCTCTGAGGACAGAGAGATATAAAAAGCCAGGAGCTAGGTCAGAGCGGAAGTTCTGACACATTTGTCCCTCATTTAACCCACTTTGGTTCTCCCTGTTCACCAGCTCTAGTGAGCTAAGTCCAGGTCTTGTAAATGAGGCCTGCCCCCCAGGGGTGATGTTGCATTGTGCATACTGGGATGCCTGCAAGGCTTCCAGTTGTGAGTCCTTTATCTCTCTCTTGAAATTAGCATGAAAAATGTAAAGAAAATGATTTAGCTAGTGGCATTTTAAAATGCACAGGTTCTGTTCCAGTCAGCACGCCTCATGAGCAGCCAACCCCCGTCCAGAGCGTTGGAAGTAGATTGCCAGACCTTTCTTCCTACTCTGACAGAAAGTAGGAAGAAAGGTCTGGCAATCTACTTCCCAAAAACCAGCCAGTGGAAACCATATGGATTGCAACAGATCAGCAACCGATCCTGGGGCTGCATTTCCATCTGTCTTGTGCGGGTTCTCTGTGAGTCAGGCATCTCAAAGGCAGCTAATAACCATACCGTGTTGTTTTTATCTGTTTTGTTTTATAGCTACATGAATACAAATCATCATCCCATCGTATTTTTCGGTTGAACAACATAGCAAAAGCCCTTAAGTTTTTGGAAGATAGCAATGTGAGTATTTGAAGCACGTCTTGGGAGTGTAAGGTGTGTTTTCGTTTTGTTTTATGAAAAGGTTGGAATGGGAACTGATGACAAGAGTCGAGGGGAACAGGTGAGAGGGGACTCTGCTAAGACAGTCAAATTAAACTCACTGTAAATGAATAGAAGTCACTGCAGTCATCCACTAGACTCCTGGTGTGGCACTGTGAGATCAGTACTGGACTGTGAACCACAAGGTCGGCAGTTCGAACCCACTAGCTGCCCCTTGGAAACCCTACACGGGTGTTATGAGTCAGAACTAACTCACCAGCACTTAACAATAACAACAACAACAACAGTCTATTGCAGGGTGTGCCCTCTCTGACTTCCACCCACCCCCTCTGTTCTGTGTCTTCTATCAGGATTAAAACTCCAGTGGATATTCAGCCACAGAAGAGCGGATTCGTTCTAATCTGTTTGGTTTAGAATTCAGTTGGCATTATCTTTTTCCAGTTGGGTCCCTTTGACTGAGATGGGACTCAGCATTGTCACAGTTGCACTTGAAACTCAGAACGTGAGAAGCCAAAGGGGGAGGTGGAGAGTATTTACAAAATTGTTCCTTCTTTGCCTTAACTTTCTAGATTTGGACTCGCTTTTTTAGTTTTGGACTCTGTGTCCTTCGGAAAGGGACAAGATGGTCCTAGCAGGTGGACATTTGCAAAGTGCCTCTTTCATTCGGTTTCATCTGGGTCAATCCCCAGCCTCCTCCCACTGGCCCCCAGCTTACCTGTCCCCAGCACACCTTCCTGGTGAAGTGTACGTCCCTCAGGTTGTTAGCAATGAATCCTGGAACAGACCCTGCTGATTGGAGCCAAAAAGAATGTGTTGAAAGGGTGCTGCACAAATCACAGGCTGACTGGAGGGACGGAGAGTCAGGGGACCCCAAGAAGTTCATCAACAAGACCACCACAGAGTCTATCCCCCAGGGAACCGGGAGGACCCATCTGCCACCACATGCCCCAAATGCCCTCCAGATTCAGTGTCTGGCTCCCGGCCTGAGTCCCAACCACCAAAGGGGCAGGAAAAGCACATCTGTGGCCTTTTGGCTTTTGAAGAGGGAGGTGGCTCTGCCTCCCAGTAGCCTTCTGTTGAGGAGACACCCCACCCCCACCCCCGAGCCTGCCGGGGGAGGGGGTGATTGTAATAAAAGGGAGGCCCTAGTTCACACACTCACTGCTCACTGACCGGAGGTTCAGTTCCGCCCAAAGGTACCTCAGAATAAAGGTCTGGCAATCCGCTTCAGAAAAACCAATCCTGAAATCTTATGGAGAATCAGACTCCGAGCCTGGGGGTGCCATGATTCAGGGTCAGATCGATGGTGTTGGTAATGCGGCTGCGGAGAGTTGTGGGGAACTCAGCAGGGGAGGGCTGCTCCTGGCACCTCCTGCTCCCGCACTGAGCGTGGCTCATGAACCTGAATCCAAGGGTCTTTATCTTGTTTCACTTGGTGCCTGTGGACACTGCCCCGGGTGTTGTCGAGGTTGGACAGGTGAATGGCCCAGTATGAAGGTGAGTTCAGGTGAGGGAGACAGGGAGAAACATGTGCCAGTTCTAGGAAGGATGATTCGACCGAGACATCAGTGCCTGTGACCAGGTCCTACTTGCTCCAGGATTCGGGTACTGTCAGGCTGCTGCCTCACACCCCAAACATATCCCACAGAGCACAGTGTGAGTCCAGGTCAGAGGGCCTCCTCTTCATCTGTGAAATGGGCATAACAACACTTCCTCACGGGGTTTCTGTGAGCATCAGATGAACTTAGCTACGAAAACGAAGGGTCACCAGGACTCCACAGGGGAGCCCCCCCAACCCCAATCAAAGGACTGCTGTGACTGTCCCAGCCTCGGAGTTGCCTCGGAACTAGAGGCACCATTTCCAGGAGGAGAAGGAATATTCTAGCTGTCCCACCTTTATTCCCACAAAGCTAACTGACCTCAGCAGAAGGGGAGGAGGATATTGTCCCTGAAGTTGACTGATGTCTGACCACTGAAGTGTCAGTTCACTGCCAAAAACAAAATCCTGGCTGGGCGCCCGAAGCAAGATGGCCTCGTTCTCTAGCATGCTACAGCAGAGACACCACAAGGGGGTGGGGTGGCATTCACAAGCAGAAACTTATTTGCTTATAGTTTGGGGGGCTACAAGTCCAAATTCAGGGCCCCGGCTCTGGGGGAACATGTCATTGGTCTTCCCCTGGGTCCAGGAGGTTCTCAGCTCAGGGCCTCTGAGTCGAACCAACACTGCTCCCAGCTCTTCTTTCTTGGTGGTCATAGGCACCTCTGATCCTCTCTTTCTTTTAAGTTTTTATTGTGAACTGAGTTGTAGATTACATGGGAGAACATTGGTTTTACACTGATCGCTTCATTGCAGTGATTATAGTCTCCTCCATGCATCATCGCTCAACAGTATTTTTGCTTCTATTCCCTGTTTTTTGTTTTTTTGTGTGGGGTGGTGATGTGTACAGAACTACTCAAGAATATATAATCATATAAACAACCCAAGGGCACATTCTGTAAACCTGCTTCCTGCCCGCCAGCACACAGCCTTTCTCTTTCCATGAGTTTAGAGTCCTCAGCTGCTCCCTCTCTCCATGTCCTCATCACTGTCTCCATCTCTAGTGTTACTGCTTCTCTGGATAGGGTCCCACATTCCACTTGTGCTCGTCTCCCTTGATGGTCCTAGGGTCCTCCGTTTCTGGACTGTAAGATTAACTACTCCCCCGCTTTTGTTACAGAACTTCTACCTTTACAGTTGTGACAGTCGCAGTTAATCATGATAACAGTTACTGACTATTGAGTCATATGATCCTGGCTTTCGTGTGTAATCTCTCTTATATGTCAAAGGAGACTGATTGCAGAAACAATCTAACCCTATAGACGGTATTTTGTCTCATTAATCTAATTGTCGCTAATCCAGCTTCATTAACTTCATAGAAGTCTGGATTTACAACACTTAGGATAATTGTATCAGATCACAAAGCAGAGAATAACTTCATAATTCTGAGGCGCATGACATAGCCAGATAAACACATATTATGTAATCCCTAATAGGAAGGGTCAGGAAATCTGCTCTTTGAGCTCTCGAACCATTTGCAGGAAACACCTGCCTGGGCAAGAGTGTGCTTTATTTTCCAGGTAACCCTTCCACCGGCCCCTTCTCCAGGCATGAGCTCTTGAATTCCAAAAGCCAGCCGCCCTCCGGGGATAGCGTGTCATTGGATTTGTTGCAACGTGGTCACCTTCTCATGGTGGAGCCGTCTGACATCTCCACTCACTTGAGCTCAGGGCCACGACTGTCAGCTGCCGTTTGGGTTCCCTCCAGGCAGGAGTGGAGACTGGGATGATAGAGTTCATGAACAGCTTTGATTCCCCTGAACTGACGTGTTCCGGAAGCCTCAGAAGCAGAGGGAGTTGTCAGAGCCTGAGACTCAGAACCCGAGCAGCCACGTATGGCAAGTGATTCATCCTGTAGGACGTGAACTTGTGACAAATGTGGACAGACGATTGGACCTGAACATGATCCAATGTGTGGCTCACAATATTGACAGCTTCCTTCCTGGCCTCCAACCTCGCAGTCATGCTGCGAAGTCTGAATTACACTCTTGTCATCAGCATACAAAGCAGACATCATCCTGGGAATCGGACTCTCCCTCCGTGGGTCAGCCCAGACCTGAAGGAGGCTGTTGTTGGAAACAGTGACACACCGACTCTATCAGAAAACAGTGTCAAGCACTGTAAGATCAGAAAACAGTGTCGAATAGCTTTAAAAGCCTTGAGGGAGAGAAGACAGATGTGGGGGACAAAGAACAGTTGCTGTTGCAAAGCGCTCTGTTTTTCCATGAAACTTCCAGACAGCGTTTTGCTGTGTGGATTTCAACGTCTCCCTTGATTGACTTTATGTCTCTTTCTTCCCACCCCTGAAGGATGGTTTTTATATTTGTAAAGCTGGTTTGTTGCAAAAGACCTCTTTAAATTGTTCAAGAGCAAAGATGTCAGTTTGAGGACTAAGGATTATCTGACCCAAGTCATGGTATCGCTTGTCGTAGGCATGTGAAAGTTGAACAGTGACTAAGGAAGACCAGAAGAAGAATCGATGCATTTGAATTACACTGTTGGTGGAGAATATAGAAAGTACTTGGACTGCCAGAAGAACAAATCAGTGTTGGAAGTACAACCAGAATGTTCCTTAGAAGTGTAGATGGTCAAACAATATCTTGGACATGTTATCAGGAGGAACCAGTCCCTCGGGAATGGTGTCATGCTTTGTAAAGCAGTGGGTCAGCGAAAAAGAAGAAGACCCCTGATGAGATGGGCCGACACAGTGGCAGCAGCGATGGGCTCAGACATAGAGACAGTTGTGAGGATGGCTCAGGGACAGTGTTTCATTCTGTTGTGCACGGGGTCACCATGAGTCAGGGCTGCCTTGACATCACCTAACAACAACAACAACAACAACAACAAAGTGTTGTTAAAAAGAAGAGGAAGACCTCCTTTAAGATTGAAACTCAAAGGGAACACATGAACAGGCATATAAACTTGCTGGTGACCACATTGGTCTACTGGTGAGTGGAAAACGGGGAAAGGCAGCGATGAAGAAGCGGGCTGAATTCAACCACGTTCCATAGACTTCTGGTGACCTGGAGATAAGGTTGGTCTAAAGTGTGGTGAGACCTCGGGACTCCTGAGCCCATGGACAAGGACATAGATAGCCACAGAGGGCTGGAGCTGAGAGTGAAGCATCCAGCTGATACAAAGTGAGAGGAGACGTACAAGAACACCCAAACTTGCAGACAGTACCCATTTGATCTAGCCTCCATGGCTTGATTATCAGAACTCGAACAGAGGAAGATTAATTAAAAAAAAAAAAAAAAGGAACAAAACAATTTTTGATAAAGGAAATAAGGGTAAATTGCTACAATTTGATGAACCTGACCTATACTCATGGAGGTAGTAACTCTAAATACCAACAGAGAGGGAAGGAGTCTTCACCTCAAGTATCAATGCTATCCCCTCTATATACAGGGCAGATAGGGGTAGGAAACTTAGACATTGGCTACCTAAAATGGGGGGGGGGGGGCAATAAAGGCATAAAGTGACTGTCTTACAAGGTTTCAAAGGGGAGTTTAGTTTGAGAGTATGGGGGGTACGAAAGAGTCCCCACTGAATAGTTATCATCTTGTCTAGATGAGTCTGGTTAAAAGAGATGACAATAGGATTCTTAGGATTCAATAGTGAATAATTATTATCATGACTAATTGCGACTGTCACAATTGTAAAGGTAGAAGTTTTGTAACAAAAACAGGGGAGTGGTTAATCTTACAGTTCAGAAACAGAGGACCCTAGGACCATCAAGATAGAAGAGCACAGGCATTCGGAATGCAGGACCCTATCCAGAGAAGCAGCGACACCAGAGATGGAGGCAGAGATGGGGACATGGAGAGAGGGAGCAGCTAAGGACTCTAGATTCACGGAAAGAGAGGGACTGAGAGCTGGCAGCCAGGAAGCAGACTTGCAGAATAATGTGTCCTTTGGTGGTGTGAATTATTATATATGCCTGAGTGTTGAAAAAAAAGAGCTAACGTGAGTAGAAATACTGATGATACATGGAGGGGATTATAATCACTATAATGAAACAAGGTATATGATTTGTTGAATGTAAAACTGATAATCTGCCCTGCAAACTTTCTCTCAATCCACAATAAAAAACCTTAAAAAAAGCAGAAAAGGAAGAAAATGCGGCAGAGCTTCTATATGGCCTACTCTGTGGATCAAAAGCTTGTCAGTTCAAACCCACCAGCTGCTCTTAGGAAACTGTACAGAGTCCCTATGAGTGAGAGCTGACTCAACAGCACTTAACAACTCTGCGTACATAGGAGTCCCTACCACTGCCATCACTGGAACCCTGGTGTGGTTAGAAGTTCAAACCCACCAGAGGCACCTTAGAAAACAAGCCTATGATGTGCTTCCTAGCAGAAAACCTTGGAAGTAGAGTTCTGCTCAGCTCACATGGGTTTGTACTGGGTTAGTGGCAATACAACAGCACCTCGACTCTGTTGGCGGCAGAAAACGATGGTGTAGGACCCAACCCAAACCACTGCCTTCGAGCCGCTTCTGAGCCACAGCGGTCCTGCCCTGTTGTGTAGCGTTTCTTTATGGAAGCAGAAAGTGTCATCTTTCTCCCACAGAGCAGCTGGTGGGTTTAACCCAGTGCTTCTTCAGCACCACACCAGGACTCCTTGATGTAAGCCAGTGGTCCTGAACCTTTAAAATGCATCAGAATCACCTGGCGGACTTGTTAAGACACAGATTGCTGACACACCCCCAAAGCTTTTGATCCGGTAAGTCTGCAATGAGAACACCGGACTTTACAGACTAACGGGGGTCCCTGCTGCTGCTGCTGGTGGTCCAGAGACCCCACTTGGTGAACCATTGCCTTAGAGAGCTTCCAAGAACACCATTCTGTGGTCAAAGGATAGGTAATTCAGTCAACAGCAAATTCTCTAGGGATTTCTACAGGAGACAGATTTTAACCAGTCATTGGATGGCTTGTAAGGATGCTGAAACTGGATATCCACCAGGTTTCAGCACAGTATTTCTAATTGACAACGGATTGGCTATTTTCCGTGGCCCATGGCTGCTGATGTCAATAAATCTGTTTGTCCTGAGGATGCGTGAAAACTCCAGACTTGGGGACTTTAGTGTGGATGGACCTCTTGAACACTTTCATGGCCAAATTATTTTCTGCTTTGAATTTTTTGTTGATACACTGTGTGTATCAATGGAAGGTAATGGAAGACATGTTGAAGTCAAGGGGGGACTATTGTTTGGAATTCATTTTGATATAATTATGTGGGATATATATTAAGTGGACTCTGGTGATAGTATTGATGGCGTGAAGCCCATTTCTTCAGATTCACACAGTTAATACTGGTCCCAACTGGGTAGTCCTGGTGTGGCGCTGTGGGCTAATGCGTCAGACTGCAAAGTCGTGTGATCTGCAAGGTCGGCGGTTCAAGCTCACCAGCTGCTCCTTGGAAACCCTATACAGGTTCGCTATGGGTCAGAATCGATTCGACAGCACGTAACAACAACAACTGCGTAATAGCATGTACTACAAGTGGGATAGCCATTTCCCAAGAAACTGGAGAGGCTGAAAATGTCGGTGGGCCATCTGTGTCCCACAAGTCAAGAAAAGGTTAAAAGTTCTAAAGCACAAAGATGTCCTTTTGATCACCAAGGTGCATCTGACCCAAATCATGGTCTTTTCATTCGGCTCATATGCTTGCAAAGGCTGCTGGACCATGAAAAAAGAAGACAGAAGAAGATACTGATGCGTTTGAATTGAGGTGTTTACAACGAACACTGAATGTCTTGTGGCGTGCTAAAAGCACAAACACATGCTCCTTGATTTCAAGGATGGCGAATGTTTGTCTTGCTTACTGTGGACATGTCATTAGGAAAGACCAATCCTTAGACGCTGACTTCCTATATGGAAAGCAGAAGGTCCATGGGAATGAGAGAACTCTTCAATGAGATGGAATAATTCAGCAACCATTGCAACGGGCCCACACATACCAAAGGTCACCAAGATGGCCTGGGCAATGTTTTGTTCTGATATTAGTGGGGGCTTCAGAAGTTTTGTGGGAAAATGCCAAGATCTGTTCATTCTATTTTTGATATTTTCCTATTTCTCTGTGTTCATTCTCTGCACTTCATGGGGTCCTCTAGTACATTGGGTCACCATGAGTCTGAGCCCCCTGACCTCCTGCACACTTGCAGGGGACACATGAATCTATTGGTTCGTTGCCATCTCCCCTTGGGAAGACATGGCTGCAACCTTACAAGCTACGTGATCCTGGGACTTTCCCTCTCCTTGAAACGTTAAGGATAGTAACCATCCATACATGGCAGGGTTTTTGTGAGGATGAACTGAGTTAATGTTTATAAAATACCTAGAACGATGCCTGAACACAGTGAGTGCTCTGGATGTGTTTATTGAACATGTTGTGCATGCTGATATCCTTGGTGAGAGCTGGTCTTGAACAGCGCCAAATGGAAGAGACGTGTGAGCATGTCAGGACAGGTTGCACCCTGCCCATACACCTTCGCTAAGCTGATGACTTGCTTCTCTCTAGGTAAAACTGGTTAGCATCGATGCAGCCGAAATAGCGGATGGCAACCCTTCTTTGGTTCTTGGGCTGATATGGAACATAATCCTCTTCTTCCAGGTAAAATGAGTATCCTTTTCCCAACACACATCATTCTCCTTCCTCTTTATCATCTGCGTAGCACCAGCAGAAAACACAGAAGCGCCAGGTCAGGGGAGAAAGTGAGATTTCGTTTCTGGTCCATTTTTGAACTCTTTTGGTTACTGAAAAAAGATGAAGTGGAAACTGTCTGATGAGGAAATAGGGGCGTTGGTGACAAACACTGATTCAGAACAGTTTATCCTCTGGGGACTCGAAGAGCTAACTTACATATTTGCTTTAAAATATAAGTTGGAAATATATATATATTGCTTCCAAAGGGTCAGAAAGAAGCTTGAAAGAGATCTGAGGATACTTCTAACCAAAAAGTGAACGTGAAGGAGGGTGTGCGAAACCTGGTTCTGTGTTCACCCCGTGTCATTTCAGCTTCCGTTTGGGAGCTGAGATTTTCTGCAGGAAGCCTGGGGTCTTGGTTGGAGGGAGAAGGTGGCATTTAAATTGCACTCAAGTTCATTTTCTGAGTAGGACTGTGAGCTAATGTCTCATCGTCTGCCTCCCGCTCTCCTTTGCAATAGGAAACCGTGGCCCTTCATATCCCGTCCCCAGCCCCAAACTAAAAGTGGTCAGCACTGGGTTAGCTGGGGCTTTAAGCTCAGTCTTGTGGTTCAGAGAGGAATGAGCAAATACCAAGTGTGGAGGCAGCAGATCCAGTTCTGTGTGAATGTTGAGCTGAAAGGCTCTCTCTGAGCCTCAGTCTTCACCTCTGTGAGATGGGAGCAGCCATATCACGCTGTCTCATGGTCTGTGGCGAGCGCTCTTGAGAGGCTGTGTCCAAAACCCCTCAGTACTGCAGGACGTAGCAGTTACTGGGGTTCATTTATTCAGCTTCCTGGGAGATGCAAAAACATCCTGCAAATGTACAAAAAGTCAAGGCCATAAGTCCACCTGCATCCTTGTGGATGTTTTTAGTGAACGTTTATCCAGGTTCTCTTGGGTGCCAGGCTCCAGACATCCCAAGTCCTGACCTTGTGATCCTATGGGATCCCAGACAAGCAGCGCCATGTTACAGAACTCTGTGGTGCAGGCCACAATCAAGGCCTGAGCAGGCTTGTGAGAGCCAAGGAATGGGACAGGCAGGAAACTTCCTGGAGGAAGTGATGTCATAGCTGAGTACCAGACAGTGATCAGACCATGCTGAGCATAGAATCGCCTGGATGCAGTGTTGAAAGGCAGGTTCTGTCTGGGCAGGGCCGTAACTTCTTCATTTTTCACTAGAACCCCCATGCTAGGAGCCCTGGTGTTACTAACCCCAAAAGGTCAGCAGTTCAAATCCACCAGCTGCTCCGTGGGAGAAAGATGAGGCTTCCTGTTCCCAAAAGGACTTACAGCCTCAGAAACCCTTTATAGGGTCACTGTGAATCAGAACCAACTCTCTGGCATACAACTTCCACTTCCTCCACCCCCAGGGTAAGAGTCACATGTGGAGAAGCAAGGTAAGGGGCATCCAGGCAATGGGAGAGCGAGGAAGTTAGGGGACAGCAAGACACATTAGGGAGTGACCAGCAATGTGCAGAGCCAGGTGGGAAACCTTAGTGTGTAGTGTCCGGCCAGAACTGGACAGGTCCAGGGAGGCCACACTGTGTATGAAGTGTCAGTACAAACAGCCAGGCCATCACTGTTCCCGGGTCCTGCCCCTCAACACCTGACCTTCAGGAAGGATCGCTCCTCCCTCTCTGGAGAGCTGGCTCCATGGTCAGGTAAGGCTGCTCCCTGGGACCTGAAATGCCATTTCCTTCATAGATTAAGGAGCTCACAGGAAACCTTAGCAGGAACTCTCCATCTTCAAGCCTGTCACCTGGCTCGGGGGGCACAGACTCGGACTCCTCCTTCCCCCCGACGCCCACCACTGAGAGGAGCGCAGCACTGTCCCTCAAAGACCAGAGGAAGGCCATCAAGACCCTGTTGGCATGGGTGCAGAAGAAAACGAGGAAGTAAGTCACTGCCGTGTTGAGGTTGAAGAGGGCCACCCTTCAAGGGGGTGGGTACAGGAAGTGGGGAATGAGCCCAGTGGGGCTTGTAGCCCTTGTGGTACAAAGGTGAAGCCCTTGGCTGCTAACTCAGAGGTCAGTGGTTTGAACCCACCCATTGGCTTGCTTCCGTGAAGTTGACATCCTAGAAAACCCTTGGAAGCTCCATCCTATAGGCTGCTTCTGAGTCAGAACTGACTCATTGGTCCCCAGCAGTAAACACAACAACATACAGATGATCAGGACAGGGAACACAGGACATTTTTCAGTTTGAGTTAAAAAGGAACCCACAGATTTGTGATCTGCAGAATGTGTGGTTTGATGAGAAAGAGAATTTGAATACAAATCAAAGGGACAATCATGGGAGTAAATCCCCAGAAGGGGCTGTCTCCCCTTGGATTCCCTCGGGTGCTGGAGATCTTCCAGAGTGTCCAGTTAAAACAATGAAAAAGGGAGACCTGGCCTTGCTGACACCGAGCAGGGAACTGGAGTAAACTCCCGGGCCGCTGTTGGACTCGGCGCCTGGCCAGAGGTGCTAGGATTACAGCGGATCTTCCACGAGCGGGCAGGCTCCAAGGGGTTGTTGCCTTCAGTTGCTAGTCAGAAAGGCTGGAGGTTTGAGATGCAGCGAGAGAAAGACCTGATAATGTACTGCTAAAAAAATCAGCGGTTGGAAGCCCTGTGGGGAGCACACTTCTGATCTAATACACATGGGGGTGCCATGAGTTAGAACGGACTCAGCACAACTGGTGGTGGTGGTCCCCGGAACAGCCTTTGGGCACCCTCAGGATGGGCCAACTGAGTGGAACTTTCACCAGGCCTGGGTGGGGACGCCATACACTGGAGGTCACCCCATCATTAGAGATCTCAGTGAGTAATTTACTTTTCCCAGTCTCACCTGCGGCATGGTCATTGTCAGAGATGCTGGCTAGGATTGTTGTTGTCAAGGGCTGGCCATCGAGTCAGTTCCAGCTCAGAGTGACCCTTGTGCACAACAGAACGAAACACTGCCCAGCCCCGCGTCATCCTCACTCTTGTTGCCATGTTTGAGATTGTTGATGCATCTCATTGGCGGTCTTCCTTTTTGTTTCTGTTTGTAGCTTTTTATTGTGAACTGAGTGAAGGTTTGCTGAGATGTAAAACATCGTCAGTTTTACAGTAAACCAATCATCACAGTTTGTTTCATCTCTATGATTGCAATCCCCTCCTTGTAACATCATTTATCCTCTTTCCTTCCGTAGTTCATGTGTCCATTTTTCCTTCTTTCCCATCCCTGCTGAACTTTGTCCTTGGATAAATGCTACCCTTTAGTTCTCAAATGGTGGAAAGGGTCTTTGTCTTTTAATTGACCCACTCCTTGACCCACTATGATGTCCTTCTCCAGGGACTGATTCCTCCTGATAACATGTCTGAAGTATGTGAGATGAAGTCTTACCATCCTGGCTTCTAAGGAACATTCTGGCTGAACTTCTTCCAACACAGATTTGTTTGTCCTTCTGTCAGTCCATGGCACATTGAATATTCATTGCCAGTGCCATTAATTCTTCTTTGGTCGTCCTTATTCACTGTCCAGTTTTCACATGTATATGAGGCAACTGAAAATACCTGGCTTAGGTCAGACGCACCTTAGTCCTCAGAGTGACATCACCTTAGTCCTCAGA